ATGTGGTGGTTGACCTACTACCCACCCTCTTTCCTTCCCTCCCTCCCTCCGGGGGGGAGGGCGGGAGCAGTGGATCGGACGGAGAATCTTTTCTTTATCCCGGCTTCTTTCCTGTCCATCACGCTCCTTGCCACCTGGGATGCCTTTGCCCTCCCTCAGGACCGACTCGGGCGCCCCCAACAAGAACAACGTGGGCGCCTCCGGGTATGCGTGGAACAGCATGAGCGGCGACGGCCTTCTCCAGACCTTCACCAAGGCTGGCTTCGGGGCCAGGTGGGGTGGGCGGGGAGGGTGATGCTGCTCGATTCTAGGTTGTAGGGGGATATGCCCTTCTAGTGAGGCAGGGAGGATCCACGAGGGTGCCGGTCCTGGTCTTGTCTCCACCGTCCCTCCCTCCCTTTCTCCCTCCCTCACTCCCTATGCCGGGCTTGCCCACCGTCTTGCAGGGAGGCTGTTCTCCTGTACGGCGCGATGGGGGCCGTGTATTTGGCGACAAAAGACGCGGGAAAGACCGCGGGCGAGGTGGACGCCGACATCGACGACGACGGTGAAATCGAAGCCTTCATCCCCAACACCTTTGGGAAGCAAAGCGATATTTACGGTGCTCAGCTCGGAAATAGGAAGTTTGATGCCAGTTATTTGGCCCAGATTGCCAAGGGGCAGACGGTCGGTTTGGGCTCTGTGGACAAGGCCTTGGCGGACCCGCAACTCAAGACCTTTGTGGGGAAATATGCCGGGAATAACAACGCCTTTCTGAAGGACTTGAACGAATGCTACCTGAAACTGACAACGTTGGGGTACCAAGGGACCAAGAGGAACGATTAGGGTAAGAACTGGACTAGTCGATGGCAGGCGGGAGGGCCCGCACCGAGTGCAAGGGCCTGTGTGATGCGGGCCGGTCAGAGAGAGGCTCTGGCGCCCCGAAAAGTGCTTTGTTTTCACATTGTAGGACATCCCTCATGGAGGGGAGAAATGAAAGAAAAAAGTCAGAGCTAAGTGGAAACGGGTCTAAAGCGTAGGCCGTGAATTTGGTTTTTAAGATAGAAGTCGCCGTCGACGGTAGACTGCCAGCTGCCTTCGTTGCTCGATCCCTGTCAAAGGATCTTAAAAGCCCGGAAAGAAAAGGGGAGTGCAGGATGGCCTCGGTGCGCTTTTGTTCCCTCGACGAACCCTTCCCCCCTTCTCCTTTAGGGTCGGGAGTGTCCGACAAGATTTCTTGGGGACACCCATGCCTGCAGATTATTATCCCATCGATGATTTCAGTTGCTGAAGCTGCAGTTTGTCCCGTCGTGGGGGCTGCTTCGACCCAATGCGTGAGTCCATCACGACTAGTAGACTAACAAAACCGCGTTCGAAAGAAGCGAGTCCAAGGCAATTCCGCGATATTCGTGGGAAGGGTATCCCCGCTGTCGGGCGTTGTTGTATTCATGTCGTCTTTACCGCGTCTGGCTCCGGATGATTTGGCATTGGCATGACTTGAGTTGGTCCAAATTTTGATTTAAGACAAGAATCGTGAACCGAAGCGGCGGCGGGGAAAGGAAATCACTGTAATACTCCTAGTACCAGAAGTAGCTACGGTGTGTAGGGGTTCGACTCCATGCAGTAATCCGCGGAGGGTTGATTGGATATCATCACCCTTTCAACAACACATTCGCCCATAGTATACCGTGTACAGTCGATATTGGAGTACACGGCCGCTCGTTTCAACGTACGTCGGGCATGTCCGCTCCATTTTAGCAGACTGGCAAGTTCCCTCTCCCACTCGCTTCTCGTTTTGAGCGACGACAGCGAGACTTGCTGTATTCGGAGACTTGATATAATTATAGGCACGTCTCTTCGAGGGCCTTCGTTGTGGAAGGAGTTGACGTGAAGCTTATGCCATCTCGTCTTCTTTCGATCACTTTTAAAGAGTTTGCATGACCTTTTCTTTTCCTCGAAGTCTTGAGGGACTCAAGCTCATTTATCAGCCTCCCTGCACGCTCAAACCATGCACGGCGTCGCGTAAAGGGTAGCTTGCAAATCGTTCACTCTTAGTCAAGTGTGCAGACTGCGTAGTCGAGACCGAAGTGAAAAATATCGGGCACAAAAGCGTTGACGTGGGGCGCGTCAATAAATATTTTGCCCGAAGGAATTCGTCTTCGTCCCACCACTACGGGCACTCACTACGTCATGCTATATTTGGTTGAGCTTTCACTCACGTACGCACCGTTCGAACACAAAATGTTCTTGACAGGGGAGGGTCTGGCTGATTGACGAGAGGTAATATGATATCGGGACTGTTGCGCGGTACTCTGGGTGAAATTTTGGCTCCGTCACCGCCGGCATCCACCCAAAAGAAGAGGGTATCAGAGGACCCAGCCGCAGAAAAAAATGAGCCAACGGGGCAAGAAAATCCATCGCTGGCTTCAAGGCCTCAGAAAGATGAAGACACGACGCGCGGCACGCAGGGCAGTCCATGCCACGACCCGACAACTGCTCCACATGAACCTCGTGCTGCATCGTCCCTCTCACCCGTCCAGCCCCCGCCGACCATGGGGGAGGACCTAACGAGCAAAATGAAGTCCCTCACCATAAAGGGCAGCATCCAGACCGCTGCCGCCAGGATGCCGCCCCCTCTTCCCCCAGGTCCGGCGGCGTTGACTCCGCCTCCGCCAGAGAGCACCCCTCCCTCCGGCAGCTCCAGCATCCCGGGCCCAACCAGCCGAGCCACCAACCTCCTCTCCGTGTTCTCGACCCCGTCGAAGCAGACGCCGGGGCCCAAAACAGGCGGCTCTGCGGCCCGCCGACGGTACACAATCAGCCCCATGCTCACGGGGACCCCCAAGGCGCTC